TTTCAAGTAGTGAGTAAGACCATTTCTCATAGAAACAATTGTTGCAAAAACCTATGCTTATTCATGTCCCTTTTTTTTGGGTCTCTTAGCTTACACGTTTTATGAATTCAACATGTGAATAGAATGATGAGTATAATAATCAAAAGACAAATGTGTGTGTCTGGAAGTGTTTCAATATTATAAATAACACAACTATCATTCTATTATATTCTCTAAATATAAACTTTAGTTTGTCATCATCTAATAAGATCTTGAAGCTTATAATAGATATATTGAAATAATATCCCGTGCATCGCACGGGTACTATACTAGTATGTAATTAAAATGCAATTGTTAATTACAATTGTGTAATTTCTTTATTTCACAAGGCCTAGTTACAGTAGTTAGCACAAAACCCTCGTACAGTTTGGAATGAGATGTTAACTACTTTCTTTTTACTTTGTCATTACAATAATTTTCTTAATATATTCTCTTTTCTACGTTTTTATTTACCTTACATAATTACATCTCTATACTACACCTACTATTTTCTTTCTAAATCCACAAAAAAAAACGGATGCGAAGACTATTGTTTAAAAACGTGGAAGTATTAATATAATGTTTTATACTTTAGGCCTCATATTCAATTTTGCATCGGGCCTCTTATATGTCAGGGCCGGCACTAGCTATGGATGGCTTGAATTTTAACATAAAGCTACCCCTGATCCTAAGCATTAAGTCACCTTTCCACCTTTCTTAGAGCCTTAAATTGTAAAGTATTAGTGGTTGTTATTTAAATTTCGGCACAAAATTATTTTTAATAAATATTTCAAAGAACACTACTGTTCAATTGAAAAATTAATAAATAAAACCAAGATAGAAAGATTACACAATTATGATAAAATAAATTATTACACTAATTCACTAAATGATATACTACTCTAGCAAGCCACCTATTGCGTTTCAATGTAACTAAATCGGCCCTTAGTTATCAAATCACAGTGCCTCCCGCAATTAAGTACTTTGTCTAAGTATTCCCAAGTGGATCAGGTATACTTGGTGGACCATTATAGTCCGGGTCGGTCCTAACTGATAGACGGTGGACAACAAGGTCGACCGCCCTAGCTAACTTATGCTCAGAACATGAAAAAAATCTATTATTTTCAATCAATCATTTAATCCCTTATACTAAAAAAGTATCATATATGTATAAGTACACTTACTTTAAAAGTAAAATAATATTATATGATTGTTTGGCCAGATTAATTTTAATATTTTATACGTAGTACGTTGTTGTTTTTTTAGTAAAAAGACTTAAGATATGGATTGAAAATTATAGAATGATCTTTTTGATCATTTTTCGTAAAATTGTTTTCTCTTGTCCGGCTCAAGACCTTCATACTTTATACGTATTTTTTAAAAAATTGTATTTTTTGAATAAACTGGGAACACAACCTATTTATATCAGTAAAAGTTATTTCAGATTGAAGAAACGCACATTCTCAACTGTTCAAAAGCACATGGAAAGCTCCTTTGTTTTAGAGGAACCTGATTTGAGGAAATTGTAAAAAGTAATAACGCAAGTATCATTTAAAATTTGAAAACTGACCATAAAAATTCGAGCCATTGTTTCGAGGATTACACCAGGGAGGAGGTGGGCTATATTAGGGCACTGGCACCCCAAAATCACATAGAACGTGCCCAAAATGTTGCGCATTTATCAATTTATGCATTTTATTATTTATGTGGAGTGTGAAAGAAGGGAAAAAGGACTAAAGGAGGGAACATTCATTGGTGTGGGATGAATTATTATATACAGGCTTGCATACAATGTATATACATATATACTCCGTATATGTAAGATGTGTAGGGAAACAATGATGATTTGCATTTGTCAGAACCAAAAGCTTATAGTCAGTTTATTATGTGATCCATGTGATTGCAAACTCAACAAAACAAAACATTGTTTTGCGTAGCTGCTAGCTCTCAAGTGGAAAGTGCATCCAACTCAATCCTTCTTAGCTTATCTTGTCCCTACGTTCTTAAGAACTCCGTATAAAATTATACTCCGTAATTCTCATTGAAGACGCACTCTACATACAATGTAGTCACTATAATTGTGCACACATACCTTCACGATTAGCTCAAATGCTCAATTGGTAAAACGGTGGAAAAGTTGGACAATGACCAAAGATCGAAATCCGCAGCGACCGCATGCATGTCGTAGCTCCTTTGTGTTGGGTTGAGCTTCTGGTGCGCACGGGTTTAAGGTCAACCACCTGTTTTGTCGGATCGAAGCGTGGGGGGCCTTAGGGTTGGGGATTCAATCTTTTTTGGACAATCGTGTACACATTTAATTAATTTTTTGGACACATTTAATTCAATCTTATGTCACCACCAAATTGGTTGATTTTTAAGTTAAATTTGTCTATGATATCAATAAAGTTTGGATAAAAAGGTTAATTATTGCAATTATCACAAACAATTTGTCTTAAAAATAGACCAACTTTGTGTGTAACGCAGGTAATTTGGACACATATACAGATGTACAAACACAGGCGTGTACACAAAGGAGCTTTGTTCATGGTAACCTTTAGTTTCTTTCTTTTGAAGGCACCGTGCGTTCATCCAGCACGCAAGAGGGTCGTACGTATAAGTGCAGTGTTTAGGAAGCATGTGTCTAGCAAAAAAAGAAGAAGAAACACCCAATTTTAGTTAAACATATTTGCTAATTAAGAAAGACTACAATTATTTTATGATTTGGCTTGTCCTTGAAGTTTGAACTTTAGACAATTAAGAAATGGCTAGGAATGGAACTGGTCGAGGCTTATATGTCATGCACTACGTATATAGCTTCAATTAAAGTTTTGAATCGCTAATTATAGCTTAGCTTGATTTGGCGTCCCTTCTTTGCGTAAAGTCAGACGGCTATGCATGTATAAGGGGCCAAAGGACAATGAATTTTTTTTTGTCTAGTTTAATCTGATCTGATAGCTAGATGCTCGATTTCTGTATAATTTACAACTAACGAAGTTTGATCTGTTTTAATCTAGTCTAAACTGATTTGGTCTTAGACTAAAATAAGTTTTAGTACAAACATTCTTTGTCCTAATGGAATGAATAAAAATTGGCCTTATTAATTGTATTGTTTAATGCAGGGAAAACTGTAAAATAGGTTCTCGAACTTTCATAAAAAAGTCAATTAAGTCTTTCTATAGGAGACTATGTCCGGCCGTCACGATTTGAGGCGGTTCCCGGTGGAATTTTTTAATGAATTTTTTTGAGCATCTTATTCATCCAGTCTAGTTTACTCATGCCAAATTTGAGCTAAAAATTCAATCGGGAACACATTCAAATTAATTCTTGAAGATAACTGCGCATTTTTGCGTTCTCGAATTAATTTGAATGCGTTCCCAATTGAATTTTTAGCTGAAATTTGGTATGAGTAAACTAGACTTGATGAATAAGATGCTAAAAAAAATCATCAAAAAATTCCACCGGTAACCGCCCCAAATTGTGACGCCAGACAGAGTCTCCTATAGAAGGACTTAATTGACTTTTTTATGAAAGTTCGAGGACCTATTTGACAGTTTTCCCTTTAATGTATGCTTTAGGATGTTTACACTTGAGCTGTTTTCACTCCCAGAGCAGATCAAACCAGATTTAAACAAACAAGATCAAACCAGACTTAAACAGACTAGATCAGACCAGACTAAAACAGACCAAACCAGATTTACATAGACCAGACCGGACCAGACTTAAACAAACCAGACTAGAATTAAACATACCAGACTTAAACAGACCAAATTATATTAGACTTAAACAAACCAGACTAGCAAAATATATTTTAAAAGTAAAAACATACTTATTAGGATTCATAATTTCATACCACACCCACCTTTAGTAGATCTCACGTTTTAGACCGTTTCACGTTATCACGTAGTACTCTTATTTTAAAGATCAAAACCCTTCTTAATTTAGTGGACTCTAAGGATATTTTCTTTTGGACTGAAATTTGCTAGTATGATGTGGTCTGGTCTGATCTAGTCTGGTCTGGTCTCATATAACCAGTTTGAACTGATCTGGTTTGGTTTGGTCTGGTTTGAGACTGAAAACAATTTAAAAGAAAACATCCTAAAATGTATATTGTCATTTGAATCGAAATTATCTGGATTTAGGTAGTGTTTGCAAATGTTTTTACTTTAAAAAAGCATTTTTGAAGAGATTTTGGAAAATATGTTTTAATAGTAAAAGTTGGCAGTGTTTGAGAAAAAATTGATTTTGAAAAACAAAAGTTGGTAGTGTTTGGTAAAATATGTGTTTTTTGTGTAATAAAAAGTAAAAAGCAAATTATAGCTTTTAGCTTTGGGAAAAGTAGCAAATCAGCCCTCGAACTAACTTAAAAAGTGCAAATCACCCCTTTTATGCAGCGCTCTGTCCAGTTGTAGCCATTTGGGGCGTTTCCCGGTGAATTTTTTTGATGAATTTTTTTAGCATCTTTTTCAGTAAGTCTAGTTTACTCATACCAAATTTCAGCTAAAATGTCAACCGGGAAGGTAGACAAATGAATTTTTGAAGATAACTGTGCAGTTAAACAGCGCAACATATTTCAGAAAATCACTTGACTGCCTTCCGATTGAATTTTTATCTGAAATTTGGTATGGGTAAACTAGACTTAATGAAGAAGATGCTCACAAAATTTCATCAAATATTTCCACCGGGAACCTCCCCAAATGGCGACGGCCGGACAGAATCTCCTATATAACGGGTAATTTGCACTTTTTTAGTTAGTTCGAGGGCTTCTTTAAAAAAAAAGTTAGTACGAGGGCTGATTTGCTACTTTTCCCTTTATATTTTAAATGTTTAATTTAAGTAGAAGCTGTCACTTTTTTTTTGGAAGAAGGGGGCTTAATTGATATCACAGTATTCAGATAGGGGTTAAAATAACAAAAGAACCACATATAATCATCCGCCTTTGAACCAGACTCAGAGTTAATCACCTTTGACAACGCAATATAACTCGTTGATCAAAAACTGGGCATAATTGAGCCAAAGACAGTTATCGCAGTACTCTCATCACCCAATGCTAATGCAAAAGTCTTACAGCAGTAAATAAAATAAAACCAAAAAACAACAGTCACCACGTGGAAATTAAAATGCAAAACAACAATAAAATAAAAACCAAAGTTTGTCTTCTTTAGCGGGAACACCACTCTTCTTGGCGGTGGTTCCGGAGGGGGGCGGACCATCGACAATTCATGTTTTACCTTCATCTGCAACACTGCATCTTGAATTATCTTCTGCCGAGTCACTACCACAATTGCCATTAGATCTTTTATGCCCCCTACAAATGCTACACCAATGGAGCTACTAACCATGCTCCAGAAACACAAACATTTGCACTCTAAAGCTTTATTCCCCTAACACAAACATGCTCCACCAGCACTAAAATGCAAAAAAGAGTACCCACAGCACTTGTAAACCATTAACGAGCCCCCCAATCAAACCTAGTAGCACAAGAAAGAAAGCAATAACTCATGAACGTAAACTTCCTCATATGATAGAGTCGACGCCTCATACAAGATCGCCAATAAGAACCCCAACTTCGGCACTCCAGTTGATAACGCCAGCAGCCTAGGACGCCCAAATTTTGAGATCTAGAAACTTGCCTCGATTGAGCCTCCTCAAACGCCGTCCATCCTATTCGAAAACCATCGAAACATAGGGCGATCTCAACCACCCATCTCTCGTCCATCCTCACAGCCACCACATCCATCAACGCAACCAACACCGCCGGCTTGAACAGAAACATGGTTAAAGTCATCGGTATCAACGATGCAATCCACAACCGCAAAGGAAGATGACAATCGGTCATAGGGGATCTCTGAATCCGCCCCAAAGAATGCCAGAAAATCAACCCAACCCGCACCATCCCTCTGCGACGGCAGAAGGCGGTGGGAGAATAACAAACCCTAAAAGAAGATAGAAGACCGCTATACTTCAAATATTGTGATTGTCCATTGAAAAAAATATAATTGATGGATGACCTTCCATCGACCAATAATAATTTCATAGTACTACCAGAGTGATGATTATTTCCGAGGAAGAAAAATCAAACTTAGTAGAAGTTGTCACTTGAAACACTCTTTTCAGGTTTTTACGCCAAAAGCTGAAAATAATTTTTTTTAGGTTTGTTTGCAAACATACCCTTAGCTTGGTTGAGAATGGTTTGCTTACATTGGGTCAGAATTGATCTAATCTGATTAGTGGCAGAGGCAGACATGATTATTGGATGGATCGGAACAAATACTATTTTTGACTTTTTTACACAATCTTTTACCTTGATGATTTAAATAAAATTGAAAACTGGGGTGGGCAAGGGCCTAGATTGCCCCCCCCCCCCCCCCCCGCTACACCCCTGAATACGATGTAGTATGTCTGTCTTATGTGTATTTTACTATAATTTAAGTTTGTTCGAGTCTGATTTGATTTAGTATGTTTGTGTAAATCTTAGTTACATTAACTCAATGTAGCTTTAAACATCGTTATTTATTACCTCATATATAAGGCATTTTCCATGAATATTACTAAATTAAATTCAAAGACAAAAATATGACTTGTTTTAATTTAATTTTTTTTAAAGTGACATATTTAGTGACTATTTCTCAGTGACTCTGATGACTTATCACTCTAAAATACACTATAGTGACTCTTTTTCAGTTACTTATACATAGTGACTAACCATGTTTTATTTTTGTATTTTAACAATTTATTACATCAAAACTCACTTTTTTTACCAAACACTTCAATTTTTAAATTTTAATAAAATCACTTCCATTTTCAAACACTATCAACTTCTACCAACAAACCATTTTTTAATAATCTCTTAAAAAATTACTTTTTCAAAAGCACAATCTCTTGCAAACATAGCCTAAGACGGATAATATGAATCACAGATATATATGTCTTTTTGAAGTGATTCACGAAAACAATAATACTTAATATCAATTTTGAATCCTAATTTAGTCCTTGTTTATTACATTCATTTATTCTAAAAATGTATAGGATTCAACCTTAATGTTTAATTTAAAGTTAATGAAAATGTAGTTTTTGATGCAATTCCATATCAATGAAATGGCTCAAAAATACTAGAACGTGAGTATAGTTTATTAATGTTATTACAAAATATCATACAGTTAAAAATTTAGTAATCATATAGGTCTAAATACATTTTTATATCACCAAGACATATATTCATCTTTTATGTTTATCAATAGTAACACTCAACATTATTAATTCCTTTTATAGATAATTATTAGGGATTAGGACATGAATGTTGTTAAAAATTAACTAATGAATAAAAGCGAATTTTTTGTTTGTAGATTTTCAAAAAAAAAGGAGAATAAAAGAGAATAAAATAGTATTACACTGCCCTAGTAACCAATGCCCTTGTGACCACGAGGGGTGCTACAATAACATTCTAATGTCACATTGGTCAATGCCTTAATGACCACCGCTCTAGTGATTAATTCCCAATCACCACCCGGGCAGTGGGACAATGATCAATGTCGAGCTTTACAATTACAAGCGTTCAGTGATCTAATCTTTAATCGTCTTTGTCGCCTGCCAATTACATTCGTTGCCCTGAACATGGTGACCATCACTCCGGTCACACTGTGACCACAACCTCTGTAACACCCCACCTCATAGGGCTCGAGCTATTTACTCCTCAATGCCATTCAGAGCTCTAGTACTGTCCTCACAAATCAACACAAATTTTTATTGCACACTTTATCCTCACTTGTGTGCATCCCAAAAAACTTCTGAGGGGATCACACATCCCAAAACTACTCCCGTAGAAGAACGCTTACCTTGGAATTTTTAACTGATGAGCTTCCTTAAAAGGAGATGCACCATGTTGGTATGAGTAATATTATTAATCCCTTAAAATTAATTTCAAGTATTACAATCAGTAATTACCCCCACTTAAGAACGCAACATCCTCGTTGTGCTCATAACCAATCTCAATAAAACCCATAATCCTCCCCTTCAAAGTGCTCGCATGATATCCAACGGATCAGGTCACTGCTGCAGGGTGGGTCACCCATCCCAAGACTATTCTTGTGCAAGCACGCTTACCTTGGAGTTCTTAGCTGATGAGCTCCTTTAAAAGAAGATGCACCTTGTAGGCATCAATGATGTCAAAAGATATACAGATGTAAGTATGTTAGGAAGAATCCAAATAATTTAGAAGACTTTTGGAATTTACTGCTTGCTATTTTCTTCTTCATTTTTTGAACTGGAACACATTTTTACACAATTCACAGTCACACTTAGCAACTTCCGATTCAACAATTTCAAAATGTGAAGGGTCATGTCGAGTAGATGGTGTCACTTTCAAAAGAGTACGACTTTTTGTCTTAGCTTTTTGGGACGGTGGTATTAGGAATGTCCATTGTTCTAAACTCGCTAGGCGCTAGGCGGGCGGTTGAGGGGTGTCTACCGCCAAGACGACCGACTAGGCCGATTTTTTGTCTGACTAGGCCGATTAGTCCTCTGCAATTAGGGCCGACTAGGCCGATTAATCGGTCCAACTATGCCGATTTTTAGAACAGTGGGAATGTTATTGCTGGATTACCTAATTCTCTTGATTTTCTCTTTAATGTCAGCTTTTCGGCTTGATCAGACATGTGAAATTGCGTCCATATGCAAATTCATCTCAATATCAATACTCATTTCGAATGAGGTTTTGACCTTTTTGTTATTTTTGCAAGTTTAACTTCATCCAATGCGGATTGATATCTGAAATTGGAGGGGGTTGAGCACATCCGACATGTTTCGCAATTTCATGTGCACAAGGTAAGTCACGTGTGCTTGTCATGATGCACTCACATAAATTAGCATTGACACCGACCGTTGTTGCGCTTTTGGACTCAATCAGAATAAGTTCAATGTTTTTCTTGATACTAATCCGTACAAGTCTTTTAACAATGCGGGATTGGAATTGTGTTTACCCACATTAAGACTTTACTCACACGAAGCCCTAATTTCGGTGTGTTGTAACTCAATTAGAGCGTTGATTATTATCCATGAACAATCAAAATCTAATTGACTGGAGCCAAGCCATTTCTTCAACTTTGCATGTGCACTCTCAACTATATAAAAGTGAAAAGAATACATTTTGTTTGAAATTTAGTAAATTCATGAATATTGAAAATAGATTTAATTTGAACATCATGCCTATTAGTTGTCAAATTGCCAAAATGCATGATTTTATTGGTCCAGGCCGTTAAAAATCTCTCTTTATATGGATTCTGTGTGTCTCTTACATTTGAATGAGACTAGGATACCTTCGGTAGTCACTTTCAATGGCATCTAATTTTTTAGCATACTCCTTTTCACGTGAAGTAAATATCAAGACACTCCAGTTGTCATGAAATCGCCAAACTCATCTTTGCATTTAAACAACTTTTTATAATAGGCAAGAACATTTTTTGTGATATGAAAGCTGCATAGAAGATTTTTTGTTTTAGGAAACACCATCTTAAGGCTTATTGCAACCCTGGAGTCAATATATCTATTGAGTTTAATCCAACACGATATAGTAAATATAGATATAATATGGTATGAACACTCTATTTTTACGTGGAAACCCAAAAGGGAGAAACTCACATGACTTTTTAGTCTAATGTCCAAGCCCTCTCTTTCTCATTAGGACTCTCCTCACCATTACAATATACGGAGTACAATTTAAGCTCCCATTAATGGAGTTTTGCAAGCTAGCTAGAGAGAAAAGAGGAAGAAGAAGCTAAGAAAAGGGGTAAAATATATGGTACATCCGGCTGTACCTTCCTTTTGGTACAGCCAGGTAATTTTGTAATTAAGTCCAACTTTCATGTTAAAAATTAGACTGAGTTACACTGTTCACCTTTCTTTTGCCACATGCGCTCCAGCCTCCAGCAACTCCTGGCCTCCTCCTGCACGTAGTCGTTATTGTTACTCTCCTCTGTATCTTTTTTGTATTGTTTGTTATCCTGCTTTTTCTTTTTGATTTAATCGTTTGTTCTTTTGTCTTTTTTTTTTTCCTTTAACAACCTTTTTCTTTAAATTTTGTATTCAATTATTATGAAAATTTATAATATAAATATTATACAAAATATTAATAAATGTCGAGTTTATTTTATTCATTTTCCAATCAAATCTTAAACTTAAGGTTTTCTAATTTACGTATTATGAAATATTTTAAGTATTAATGTTTTTTTTCAATTTTTAATTTAAGATGAAAATTTATTAGTTTATTAAATATTGTGTGTCTGACATGGATTTTCTGTTACACGGATTACTAAATGAACATTTGCACACATTAGAAAATTCAAACGATCTTTCGATTTTTTCGATACTCATTTTGTAAGTTGCTTATGTTCATCTAGTACCCAGGTTATGCTCATTTTAAAATGTCATTTTAATGCGTATTTCAAAACTATCGTATAGATTCTCATAAGATAGAGTTAGATTATATACATGTGTTAGAAATCATGATGCTCAATTGTATGCCTATGATCAATAGATGAGGGTTGATATTCAATGAAAATGTTTTGATGTTCAACTAACAAAGCTTATGATTTTCATATCATTGTTCATTTGGAAAATTATGTATGCTCATTTGATACTGATGTTATGCTCATTTTAAAATATTATGTCAATGCATATTTAAAAGGTATCATATTACATTAGATTCATGGAGTTGATTATAGATATTGTATCACGGACCATGATATTTAATTGCATGTTTCTAAGACTCAATGTCGTAGAAGCTTTGGTGCCAACAAAATTCTCATGATGTTCAACAAAAAACTTATGAAAATTTATTGTATATTGGAATCCATAGGAATCTATTATAGATATAATTTTAAAAAATTATATAAAAGAAAAAATAAGAAAAAGAAAGTGAATCAGCAGTTATGAAGAAGAATTTATGTTGCTCAATAATACTTAACATAATAGGTCTGT